CCCCCGCAGCTGTCCTGCCCTCGGGCGTCAGCTTCCTCCACGCAGACGTGCGTGGGAGCCGTGTTGCCCCAGGCCGCTGTGAGGGGTCGAGGGGTGCTGCTTGTCAGTGCAGAGAACGGTGATTTTCAATAGGCGCCGATCATCCGTATGGAGTCACCATCGCTGCTGGTGTTATTGTCATCAGTTGATCGATAGTTTAGTCTTCCCCGGGGCTCCGAACCTGCCTCTGGACCCCGGGTGTCCGTCTGCCCCTCTGAACAGAGATGGGGGAACGGGCCAGCGACAACACGCAGAAACTTGTCAGTGACACTTCAGAAAAACGAGCAGCGATCTAATAAAAACTGCGGCGGTTAAATGCGTCACGACTTGGATGAACGTGGCACGCCGCGTGGAGAGAGCCCCGCGGCCGCCCGTGCGGGTAGAGGGGCGGGGAGGGCTGCGTCTCGGGCTGCTCCGAGCGGAGGGCAGAGGGCGGAGGGCGACCCGAAGTCAAGGGGAAGGTCCCACCGCCCGATGGGTGAGCGTGGCCCGCGCTCGAGCTGGGCGTGTTTTCCGTATCGACCGGGTGTTTCTCTCCGAAGAAACCACGCGTGATAACAGACGCGAGATGTGCGTCGTGCTCGGATCCTTCACGGACGTCCCGGTCACGTCGGGACACAGCGACCTGCTCACGGCAAGTGTCCCAGCAGCTCTCTCTGCAGAGCTAGCCGTGGGGGCGCCAAAAATCACACAGAAAACAGGACACCCCCACATCGCCCCTCTGCAGCTTACGGGCAGGAAATACGAACATGTGTTCCAAGTAAAGAAATTTTATGTTTTTTTATTTCAGGGTATTATGAGGGTACAAACATTAAGGTTACACTTTATGTCTTTGCCTCACCCAAGCGAGGGTTAGGGGCGTGCCCTTCCCCTCTACAGTGCTCCCCGAGTCCTTTAGTTGAGGGTTTACCCCCATCCCCCTAATCCCTGGAGAGTGTCACGGCCATGTGAGCCCCTAGCGTTCATCCGTTAGTACCGATTTGATGGCGAGTACAAGCGGAGCCCGTTCTTCCCATCTTGTGGTACCTCTCTTTGGATGATGGGCTCAAGCTCAACCCAGGAAAATATAAGAGGTGCTAGATCACTGTCGTTTTTTATTATTGAGTGATAGTCTAAGTAAAGAAATTACATGAGATTTGCCTCTCATGTTGGTTTCTAGGGCTGCCGTAACGAAGCACCACAAACTTGGTGCTTCAAGCAACAGAAATTTACTCTCGCACAGTTCTGGAGGCTGAAGTCTGATGTGGCGGCCTGGGCAGGGCCGTGCGCTCTCACGGTTCGAGGGGCCCCTCCTCGCCTCCGCCCAGCCGCGGGGTCGCCACAGTCCTTGGCGTTCCCTGCCTGCAGCCTCGTCCCCTGGCCGCGTCCTCAAGACCCCGGCTGTCGAGTTTGGGGCCTCCCCCATCCAGCGTGACCACAGCTGGCCGCCGCTGCAGTCGCGAAGGCCCCGTTTCCGGAGAAGTTCACATTCACAGATAAATATCTTCTGGGGGCTACGATTCCACCCGTAACGCTCCCCTCCGCTCCCCCAGGGCCTTGCGTGCTCGTGAGCTTGGACCGTCCTCGCTGTCCGGGGTGTCCTCAGTCTCAGTAAACAGGGACCTGCCCGCCAGTGTCCGCGACTGAGGTCACCCTCGGCTCCAGTAGGGGACTCGGGGGATTTTTTCCTGCCTGCGTTTTCAGTTTGGCCCTGGAAGCGGACTCTCTAAGTGGAGGATGCAGATGTCTGGGGAGGGGGAGCATGAACAAAAAGACACACACAAAAAAAATGTCATCGATCGAATTTATAAGAGCCTGAGTCTTTGGGGCAAAAGAAAGGAATAGCCTGGGCTTTGGAACGTACCATGTGCCACCATCAGGAACAGCTGTCCCTGTCTGGATCCAGCCTCTCCTGCCTTCCAGCCTCCACCACGGCCCCTGCCGGCCAGTCCTCAACCGCGAGGACGGGGACACACAGAAGGAAACACGGAAGGAAACGGGGTCGTCGTTAGCCGCGTGTGCTCAGGCGCAGTGCGCGCCACCGCTCGGCACCCCAGGGCCGGTCCCGTGACGGTTCCCTTTCTCGACAGGGAACACACGCAGTTCAGGAAGGAAGCATGGACGGACGTGGGAAGGAAGTGGAACATTCGCTTGCAGCTCTCGAGGCTGCAGGGCCTCCCAAAGGCCACCCGGTCTCTGGGGCAGGACCCTCCCGTGCCGGCTGGGGGTGTTTCAGCCGCCCCCGTCCGCGGTTTGAGCTCTGGGGAGGGAGGTGTTCTGAACGGGAATTCTTCCCACGAGGGTTTCCGTGTCACGTCTGCGCTTTCAGGGGACTCTGCGTAGACGTGAGTCGCAAACGCGAAACAGCCGAACCGTCTCCTCTCCTCTAACTCTCCTCTCCTTCTCTCCCAGTGCGCTCCGCTTAAGCGTAAGCATCTCTTGACCCTTCGGTTGCAGTGACGACCTGGGGGGCTCGTCCCCAGCAGTCGGCCGGGGGCTCCTCCGCGCCCCCTCTGGTCCGGCGCCCGCCGCGCCCCAGCCTGCGGCACACTCGCCGCGTCTCCGAACGGCTTCCTCTCTTGCCCCGTCCGCGTCCGTCCCCGGAGTCGCTCTCTCCGAGTCCGTCCTCCGTCCCGACGTGCCGCCCTCCACTCCTCTGCCCTTCGCTTCCCTCCAGGCCACCCCCTCCCCCCCCCCGGCGGACACGCTTCCTTCTGCGTCCACGATCCGTCCCCAGCCGGCTGCCGGCGCGAGCTCAGCAAACCCTTGCTGCGTGATGGAATCTTTTCCTGCCGGCGTCATTTTGCTTTGAACCAGCCAGCGTGGTTTGGCGTCCCGTGTTGGCCAGCCGACCACCGCGTGGCAGCGCGTGCTGGCCCGTGCGAGTTGCCGTCTGGACCCTGCGGTCCATTCCACGGTGGTGCAGACGCCGGACCAGCCCGCACGCGAGCTGTCCCCTGCCCAGGCCCCGGCAGCGCAGCCCTCGGCGTCCCGCTTGCAGGGGGGACCTGTGGTGTCTCGAGGAGCGAGGCCGTGCTCCGCGCCGGGGCGCCCGGCCAGACAGGGACCGGAACAGCTGCCAGCCTCGCGAGCAGGAACGAGAGAGCGCGCTTGTCACGGCAGCTGTCTGCATCGTGACTGGCGCAGGCGGGCGGGGCCTTGGCACGAGGTGACTCCGGCAGGGGGGGCTCCTGAAGGCGGGACCCCACAGAACCGGGGCCTGACTTCGTGGCGGCGGTGCCGCTGCGTCGCCGCGTCCCAGTCTTCCGTCTCCTCCCCGTGCACGCGCCGGCCCGCGCTGGCCCTGGGGCGCGACACCGAGCGGATGTGGTTTCTGTCCTTAGAGACTTCGGTCGGGGTGGCAGTCTGCGGTGGGTGGAGTGTGCGTCAGCAGGGACCCCCGTGTCCTGTCACCCTCAGGGGAGGTCGTCCCAGGCCCTTCCCTTTAGCGACAGCCCTTTTCACAGGGATCATTCCCGGGAGTGGGGCTCCGCAGGGCAGCGGCGCTGGGGCTGCCGGCCTCGCTTTGTCCCGCCAGGACGAGGTTACTTACGGTGAACCCGCCGTGCAGTGCTTACTCCTGTCCGCACTTGGTGAGAGAAAGGGCACTTTGATTCCCCAGGCAGCGGGGAGGGTGTGGTCCTGGAGCAGAGTCAGCTCCGTGAGAGTCATGTCTGAGAAGCTCACTGTCGTGTTTTGTTTCCTCCCCCACCGGGGCCTGGTGCGACCGCGTCCGGACCAGCGTCAGCCGGAGGACCGGTGTTGGCGGTCGCCGCCGCAAGCGCGCAGGTCCCGGGACGCCCCGTGAGTGCGGCCCCACGTTCTGTCTGTCTTGCAGATCGTGACAGACCAGCAGACGGGACAGAAGATCCAGATCGTGACCGCAGTGGACGCCTCCGGATCCCCGAAGCAGCAGTTCATCCTGACCAGCCCGGATGGCGCTGGAGCGGGGAAGGTGATCCTGGCTTCCCCGGAGACGCCCAGCGCCAAGCAGCTCATCCTCACCACCGCGGACAGCCTGGTCCCCGGCAGGATCCAGGTGAGCCCGTCGGCGGGCGTTGGTGCGGCCCTGCGCCGGCGGCCTCGCTCCCGCCTCTCCTCGGAAGCCACGCCCGTCCCCGGCAGGTGCTCAGGCACCTGCAGGCGTGGCAGGTGGCTGCTGTGGCCACAGAAACAGGCCAGCAAGCTGGTGGCCCTGCCCGGGGACAGTCCGCTGTGACACTCAGAGGGATGGGATTGGCCACAGGAGACTGGCACGAGCAAAGGCCACGGGAGAATTGCTCTTACCTGAGGCCACGTGGCGGCCGCCCTCGGCCTGTGATGTTTCAAAGGTGCCACCGAGGGCCGACCACAGCCCGCCGAGAACTGGCCTGTCCCTCGCTCCGACCTCTGCCTTGTGCGGGTCACCGGCCCTGTCCCCGCTCCTCGTCCGTCCCCACTCGCTCCTGCGACCTGCTGGCTCCGGACCCTGCGGTTCCTGCCCCGTCTCCGTCCTGCTCCTGCCTGCCCTGGCGAGGCGGGACGGGCCGGGCCGGGCCACAGCAGGGAGAGGAGCAGGCGGGGGGAAGGCAGAGCATCCCGGCCCAGCACCTAGAGAGAGGGGCTCACGTCGGCGCCCCGTGGGGCCCGGCACGGAGCGAGTTGGTCAGCGTCAAGCTGGAATCCGTGTTGTCTGTTTGCTTTTAATTGTCAGAAAAATGAGTGATGAAACATACGTGATATAAAATTCAAGATCTTAGCCGTTGTCAGGTGCGCGGTTCAGCGCACCCACGCTGCCGTGCGCCCCACCCCCTGCGACTCGCTCTCCATCTTCCCAGGCTGCACCTCTGCTTGCTGAGCAGCGACGCTCCCCTCCCCGCCCCCGCCCCGCACCCGCCAGGCTGCTTCCGTCTCTGTGGATCCGGCTGCTCTGGGGACCGCCTGTGCGGGTCACGCAGCATCCGTCCTTCTGCGACTCGCTCATTTCGCTCTGCATGGTGGCTTCCGGGTCCCTCCGTGTTGCGGGACGTGGCAGCATCTGACTGATACTCCACTGCGCGTGTGAGCCGCGTTTTGCTCAGGCCTCTGTCGGTGGACGCGTGGGCTCTCCTGCCGTCGGCCGTCGTAGTTAGTGCTGCTGAGAACCCGTGTGTCGGGGGCACTTTTTACTGCGGAGGAACTTAAGGAAGGAAGGAAGGAATTTTTCCCCGGTTGAGCTGCGATCCACACGCTGGAGCGTTCAGGTCTCAGAGCTGCGCTCTTAGGCACCTTCCACTGCACGCAGCAAACACCGTCTTGTCCCTTCCCGGAGTCCATCCCCCTCGTCTGCAGTCGGGCTCCTCCCTGCCGATTTAGAGCAGTCCTCGGGTGTCGAAGGGCGGCTGTTGGCTTCGCTGCGCGTTCACGAGGCGTTTCTACGTGATGATCTGTGTGCGCGTCCCCGGGCGCAAGTCATTTCCCGGCCCTCGCTGGCTCACGTTCAGGCGCGTTGTTTGATCACGGCTGTTCTGCGCTGTCTCTCGTCGACGTCAGGCCTGGCGTTCTCCACGTGGCTCGCACCGCCTGTCACCCAGACGGTCACCTACTGAGGGGCCAATGGCAGGGTTCAGAGGTCATCATTCCGGTCGTTTCAGCACCAGCTGCCTCAATGGGAGACCTCGTTATTTATTAATAAAGCTCACTTATTTCTCCGAAACACACCTCTCCGCACGGGTTCACGTTGTTTTGTGGGAACAGAAAAGTAGCCGGAAGAACTTTCAGTATCTTTATTTTGGAGCGTCTGGGTGGGATTCCTGGCTTGGCCGCCAGTCTCGGACGGTTGTGGTAGCCAAACGGAGCAGATCAGTGGAAACCATTGCCGGGCCCCAAGACCCCCCGGGGCAGGGGTGCGGTCTGGGTGCGCGGCGAGGCCGCGCCGGGTGTCCGATTAAGCCGTCAGCTGGAGTTTTCCCAGTTCTGCCCAGAGTTCTCCAGGTTAGAAACCCAAGACGAGGAATTTATAGTTAAACGTGACTTTGCTCGGTGATGTGGGTTTTAATTGGCCTCCCGTCTGTTCCCTGATTTCTCTCAGATCGTCACGGACTCTGCCTCCGTGGAGCGTTTGCTGGGGAAGGCGGACGTCCAGCGGCCCCAGGTGGTGGAGTACTGTGTGGTCTGCGGTGACAAAGCCTCCGGTACGTACCCAGGAGATGTGGGCGCGCGTCACGAACCCGCAGCGTGCAACGGCCGTCGGGGTGGGGGACCGTGTAGAAAGGACGTTCGCCGCAGGTTTGCGGTAATTCTGTGATCCAGCTGACACTGCGCGGCGCTTTGCTGCTTCGCAAGATGCGTCATTCGCGTAATCTCTCTTCGTCCTGTGACTGCCTCTGTCCTCCGCTCGCCGTACCCCACTGTGATCAAGCGCTGCGCGGGGCCGAGGAAGCACGTGACCCTGGCTGGAGTCCCTGGGCGGGCAGGCCCCAGAGAGGCAGTCCCACCTGGGAGGCTCGGCAGCCGAGTGTGCGCGCGTCGGGTGGGGTGGGACAAGGGCTTCCAGCTGGCGGAGCCGGGGCCGGGGGGGTTCGGGTCTGGATCCACGGTGCCCCTGGGTGAGAGCCGTGACTTCCCAGGCTCGAGTGTGGGCGAGGGGAGACCGGAGAAGACGTCTGGCCCGGCTGCGATCGTGGCCTGCTAGCACAGGGAGCCGGGGAAGGCCAGGGAGGCAGGCAGGACAGGACAGTGTTTGCCGAGTCCCAGGGATGCCAGGGGCACAGGCCTGAGTCCTGTGACAGCCGCTTGGTGCCACTTCACTCTGCGGTCACAGATTTTACAGAAACTTTGGACACGTTGTAGTCCTGGTTTGTTGTTTGTGTGCTTGTTCTGTTTTGTTTTTTAAAGGGAAGTTGGGCCGAACCTCTTAGGCAGACAGCTCCAGGCAAGCGTCTGAGCTTCTAAGAAGCTCCAGTTGCCCCTCGAGCTGGTGAGACCATTTCTCTGCCGGCGGTGCCGGCCTCTGCCCTCCCCTCTGTCCTGGCAAACCTGCCCAGCCTGCCCCGTCCCTGACGGCCTCAGCGCCCCCACGGAGGCAGACGGACAGGCCGCCCCTGGTCCTGATCGCCCTCGTGTACAGACCTCTCTGAGCACTTGCTGCGTCCTCTTAGAATTCAGCTTTCACGGGCCCGTCTTCCTCCATCGGAATATCAGAGCGAAAGCCACGTCTCACCTGTCCGTCCCCCATCCCCGTCTTCCTGCTTAGCGAGGGGAGGCGCTTGCAGACTTTTGGACACGTAAATGAAGGACGAGCGTAACAAAAGGCTACCGCATCTGCCCGTTTATTGGTCCTCTTCTGAGTTTGGAGGAAAGGCCTAGTCGTGGGCTCTCAGCGCCACTGTCTCCAGAAAGGTATCAGAGCCATTCGGAGGGACAGAGAGCTCCGGACATGCACAGCAGGAAGGGACAAACAGCACGTACACGGGGAAGTTTAGCAGAGGCCGGCGTGCAGTGACAGTCACGGCTCGCTGCAGCCCCCAGCCCGGGCTCCAGCCATCCCCCTGCCTCCGCGCGGCTGGGAGTCCTGACACCACCGCCGCGTCTGGCTAGTTCCTGATATTTCTTTGGTAGAGACACGAAGCACTGCTCTGCTGCCCAGGCTGGTCTCCTACTCCTGGTCTCAAGCGATCCTCCCGCCTCAGCCTCCCAGGCGCTGGGATTACAGGTGTGAGCCGCTGTCTCCAGCCTCGGCACAACTTTTCTGAAAAGAATAAAATTGAGATCCTCCAAACGCACCCTTGGGAAATGGCTCCACACACGAGCGCCGAGGACAGTGGGACCTTCTGTAGCCGCGATAAACGGCAGTCGTGTGAAATGTGACCTCCCTCGCAGTGTAGCTGTGACATTGGGTTACACAGATGGGACAGACCCAGAAGAGCGTGTCCACGGTCAGTCTCAGCCGGAAACAAGTGAGGTGTGATGTGGGTGGAGGCCCACTGTGAACTACGAAGGGTAAACTGAGGCACGGGGAGCTTTCCAATATCATTGACAATCAGAAATCAGAGCTTCTGCAAACTGTTAATACACATCTGACAGGGTTAATATCCAGAATATACAGGAAACTTAGCAGCAAAAAGCAGATAACCCAATTTGAAAACGGGCAAAAGACCGTAATCCACACTTCTCAAAAAAAGACACTCAGACGTCCAACAGGTACGTGAAAAACCGCTTAACGTCGCTAATCATCAGGGAAGCAAATCACAACCACAGTGAGGTAGAACCTTACTCCAGCTAGAACGGCCATAATCAGAAAGACACAGGAAGACAGACGTCGATAAGGACACGGAGAAAAGGAAACACTCGCTCTCCGTCGGTGGGACTGTGAGTTGTCACAGCCACTGTGAAGACCTGTGTGGAGATTCTTCAAAAAATTAGAAGTAGAGCTATATGTGATCCAGCAGGCTGGGCGCGGTGGCTCACGCCTGTGATCCCAGCACCCTGGGAGGCCGAGGCGGGAGGATCGCTCGAGGTCAGGAGTTCGAGACCAGCCTGAGCAAGAGCGAGACCCCGTCTCT